ATGTACAAACTTGTACAGACTTTTTTTGGTCATTATTCTCCAATTAATGCAGTATGACAACTATTTACAAAGTATTTACATTATATTAGGGATTATAAGAATCTAGAGATGACTTCAAGGTAGGCATAAGTTTTATGAAAACACTACCCATTTTACCTAAGAGACTTGAACATTCAGGGATTTTAGTATCCAAGAGGGGCCCTAGAACTGAAGGATGACTATACAAAAGGCCCAGTTACTGTGCCCATAATGTCCACTGGAAGCCCAGTGTTATCAGGAGATGTAAAATGCAATATACTTATCCCTCACCTACAGTACCAAAAATTCCCAATCCGAGGGCTGGGGCTGTGGCTTAGAGGTTCAGTGCTCCCCTAGCATGCGTGAGGCACTGGGTTCAATCCTTAGCACCACATAAAAATAAAGATATTGTGTCCTCCACCAAAAACTAAAAACTTTTAAAAAAAAAATTCCCAATCCTGACCAAAGGATAAAGGCTGAATGCTTTTGAATCTCACATGAGTCCACTTACCAGCATGCCTCCAGCAAAGAGGGAGAACTTGGTGGAATTTGAGTGAAGACAAATCTGGTGTTCACCAGGGGTATGAGAGGTAAAAGTGAACCTGCCCTCGGAGCCATACTGACGGGCCAGGATGACCTGGAGAAAGAAGAGAGGCTTTAGTCAGTGTTATGGTAGGGATGAGGCTGAAAGGAAATGGTGCTTAAAGCTATAAGTATCACAAAAGTTGACAAGCAGAGTCTTAAGGACCTCAAAAGATCCAAAGCTGCTCAGTAGCAATTGCCAAATGTTTGCTGAGAACTATTTGGGGCAGGGTTGAAGGGTCTGACATCAGTCTGGCAAGTGATGATTCTTGGCAAGGGCTTCCCTGTACTCATAGCTAATGCCTTTTCAACCTTGTTGGTGCGTTTTTTTTTCTTCTCTTTTTAAATGAAAGGTGACCTAGGGTGACAGCGAGAGTTTTGTTTTTCTTTTTAATGTCCTTATTTGTCAAAATTAAAAGTTGCTGATTTTTTTTTTTTTAAGTGCTCAGTTCTGTAACTAGATACTACAGTTTTTAGGTCAACAAAACTCACTGATTTTCATCATCGTAATTAATTTACCCATCACACCTATAAAATAAGTGAATTTCCATTTCATAGACCAGGGAAATAACACAGAAGATAAGTGACTTGGCAGAGTCGTGCATCTGTCAGTAGGAAGTTGAAGGAGCGGCTAGGATCTCTGCAGCCCAAGTTTAGCCTGCAGAGAAAACCCGGGATTTCCCATAACTCTTTCCCATTTCAGCAGATCCGGAAACTAAGAGGGGCAGTACTAGAGCCTGTTTGGTGGAGGTCTCTCCGAGGTAAGGGGCCGGCTCACCTTGTCCTCTGGATCCTTCACCTCCACAAACATGCCAAGCCCCGGGGTGGCCGGCTGATACTCCTCGCGCTGCTTGTCATACAGCTGTGTTCGGTAATTTCCTGGAGACAAGCGAGGCGAGCCCATGTCAGAAGAGCGCGAGATGGCACTGGGTCCGCGGCCGATAGGACACGGCACAGCCAGCTCCTCCCAGCTCCCAAGAGCCGACAGTTTCACATCCCCCGCCCCAAGACCACGGTCACATCCCAAACTCTCCCCTTCATCCCCGCACCTATAACCATTGTCTCGTCCGGAATCTCCTCAATAAAGCACTTCTTCTCTGTCTCCCCGATGTGGAAGTAGAGCGTACTCCCGCGGGCCGCAAACCACAGTAGCAGTAGAAGGGTCCGCATCATGCTAACCAGCCCGGTTCCGGGTCGGATCCCAAAGACCCGCATGCCAACCTCCGCAACCATCTTGCCCCACCTGCCCGCGCAGGCGCAGCCTGCCGAGCCACGTAGCCCTGCTGCTGCCACCGCGGTGCCTGCCGGGACCACGAGTTCGGCAGGGTGGACTACAAGTCCCGAGATGCTCAGCGGCCTTGGCGCGGCAGCACCTGATTGGGGCATCGTTTCTACCTTGTACCGAATTGGAACCCCCTAAATAGAAAGTTTCTTTCTTTTGATTCTCTTTAAGCAACTGGACGACTGGTGGTGATTGTTCTCATTCTACAGTGATGAAACCGCGTAAGATTGTTTGAGAACGCGGAACGAATTACGAGCAGAAGTAGGATTCGAACCGAGGATTCCTGACGTTCCTCAGCACAGCATCTGCTACTGTTTACCTCTATTTATTTCTTTGTAATGAAATTTTAGGGCCTGGATATGTACCTCCGTGGCAGAGTGCATACCTACCATGCATGAGGCCTTGGGTCCAGCCCCAGCACCGAGGGTGGTGGATGGGGGACGGGGTGGGGGAACAGGACGGGACGAGACTTTCTTAAAAATGGCAGAAACAACGTACGAATTCTCAAAAAAAAA